AACACAAACTAAAAATTGTACGACAACCTGCAGATATGACTTTTTGGTGCCGAAAAAACTGAAAATAGTGATTTTTGATTTTTCTTATGCATGAAAAAAGGACACACATGAATCTTCGGTAATGTTTCTCGACGATCACTGCTATGCACATCCGTTTCACTTGATAGTAGGCTTGTTGCTGATGCGTCAGCGCCAAAATTTTTATTACTTCATCCAAATTATTCAAATTCTATAATGAAAAAAGTGACATTTCATGAATGTATAAATTGCCCAGTGAGTTTCACAGCAAGGCTTGCTGGAATCAGCAGCTAAACCCCTTTCAGATTCACCCGTTATGAGAGGCGAGTTCACTCAGAAGTATTTCGAGGGTAGCAAAAATAACTTTTCAATGGCAAGATTGTCGACGGTACCTTCTTTCGAGAGTTGCTCAGAAGTAAAGCTGATAGTCCGCATGTATATGTTTTTCAATGAAAATGTGCGCTACTTCATGGTTTGTTTCCATATTTTGCTGGTTTTTGTTGACGATAACAGAAATTTGCATTTTGTTCCATGGATTTAAAACACTCTTGCAATACAAAGGTTTAAGAAATATGTGAATGCCTTTGCTTTACTTGTGAGTTAAATAAAAGCTAAATAATGAGTTGAGGATTGATGTGCGTTTAATTTCGGTTGAAGTTTGACTTTGGATTTCAGATTTTGAAACGACTTCAAACTATTTCTTCATCAATTCTTTGAATGCAGACCCAGGAAGACGGTGGGGTCGTTTTTGCAAAAGACCGCTTGAAATAAGAAATATAATGAAATAATACAGCAGGAGAAAAGGGATCGGTCTAGTATTATGCGCAAGAAGACATTTTAGGATACAGTCTGTATTTCATCCCTTAACCGTGCAAATGTTAGCAGCAAAAAAACATAAATTCTGAAAAATATTAAGTTTAATCAAATGTGTGGGCCTCAAGTTCAGGAGATGGAGAAAAAAACCTAGCCGAAAGCGTACCGGCTGCCGGTGCTAGGATGGGTTTTTTGCACAGTTCCCCCCGCTGGTTTTTTTTCGCCAGTGGCACGTTCTTCCTGGCAGATGCTTCTAGCTGAAAGAATTGTGACTGGCCACCACGACTGTTAGAAATTGTTACAATGACTCCCAATCTATGTCCATAAAATTCAACGCTCTGGATGCTTCGGTTGCAGAGTTACGCCAAATTTCACGTGTTCGTACGTGAGTAACAACGTGATTGTTTTCTTCGACTGGGTTTACTTAAAGACGGCCCTAGGTGGTGCTCAAAAAGTTTCAGTACTCAGGCTGCTCCGGTTGCAGAGTTACGTCAAATTTCACGTGTTCGTA